ATCGATTTTTCTTTTATGCCAAAAATCATTAGAATATTAAGTAAAGATCATGTTCCATGAAGATATTTTGTAAATTTCCTACTGTAAATACATTAAAACTTAATTTTTGATTAGTAATACGCATTGCTAAGAATTTCATTTGGACAACTTTAAAGGTGATATTCTCAGTATTTAGATTTTTTTGCACCCTCAGATTCCAGATTTTCAAATAGTTGTATCTCGGCCAAATATTGTCCGATCATAACAAACCATACATCAATGGAAAGCTTATTTATTCAGATGTATAAATCTCAATTTCAGAAAATTGACCTTTATGACTGGTTTTGCGGTCCAGGGTCACACACACACACATACTGTATATATATATATATATATATATACATTCACCAAATGCACAAAAAGCAAGTTTATATATTTAACATCACTACATTTTATTCCAATTTCCTTCATTTTAAATAATTGAATAATGCTTGTTCCATAGTTAGCCATATTTTAACCGTGTCCAACCAGTCAATTTAACTACACCCCCACAAAAAAAAAAAAAAAAAACACGGATTCATGCTTTTTCTAAGCAATTTGAATGTTTCTAAGAATCTTTAAATATTTTCCTCATTTTGAAAATATGATTATTTAAATAAATAAAAAATAGATGTAAATAACAATAAACCATGTAATTTATGTATGACTGGAAAATATGTATAACATTTTATTAGCTGTTAAAACTGTGTAATCCAAATGGATGGACTTTTGGATGGACTTCTGTGGCTGGAGATGCTGGTCATGGCTTACTGTCTTTTAACGGTTCAGTTTACTTAAATGCTTGAACACATCCTGTTCTTTGACCTCAAGGCCACTAAAAGAATTTGTAGAAGGTGGCAGAGGGTTGTTTCTGAGGGAAACAATAGTTCTTTTAAAGTGCCATTGTGGTGAATGGAAATGCTAGCTTTCTCTTAGTATTACAAATCACCTTGGTCCAAAATCCCATTTCACACTGGGTTTCTGTATTCTGAATGTCTGTATGGCCAGCATTTGGGCCACAGCTGAACGGGATATTAAATGAGTTCTGATTGGCTGTGATTGCCACTTCACTCGGCATTTGCTTTCAGTGAGGACAGAAAAAGCACTTGATGCTGGATACTTTGTGTGGTTAGGACATAGTTTTTGTATTTTTCTGATTTCTGTAGTTCAACCTCCCTTTCAATTACCATCTCTTCTCTCTTCCTCTCTCTCTCTCCTCTGTCCATCAGTCCTCTTGTCACTGAAGATCACCCCAGGCTTAGCTGCTACACAGCGAGACATTCTCATCAAAGACTACCATTCTTTCATTCTTCCTCAACCAAATCACATAATCAATATTTCTGTCTCCACCTCAAAACATGTCTCTTGCAGACAGTGATTCCTTGAACTCCAAAGTTACCCAGAAACAATTAAAAATAAATAAATCCTGAGCAAGATTGTTCTGATTTGAAACATCATTTTGAGGCTGATGGATTTTCCAAACTCAGGTGTGCTAAAAAGGTCGTCTAGGGTACAGTTCGTGTGAACTCCGGTGGGATCCATGTTAACTGTAAAAGTGAACTGCCTATTAATGACATGTAGTTCTGAGCTTTGTCAGTTATTTTTAATTTTAATTCCACTGTTTAGAAGTTTGAGAAGCAGTTTTGGGAGCAGCATTGCAGACACTGAAACAATAAAATAAATGTGAGGACATGTTTTGCCATTGATGAATAATCTATAAATGGAAAAGCACATAATTTATGTGCTTTTGTATGTTAATCACATCAAAATAAATGTACTTCTTTGACAAAATACTATTAAACATAATAATGTAAAAAGTACTTTGAAGTAAAACTTTTAATTATTACATTATTACAAATTGCACTTTTTAAAAGTCTACTTAAGTGTGTTAAGAAACACTATCATAAAAGTGTGCTCACTTTAAGTACACTTAAGATGCCTTTTATTACAATAATAATTTGCAAGTACTTTTTAATTTAATTAATTTGCAAGTACTTTTTTTTTCTTTTTAAATATATTTAAATATACTAAGTACACTTAAGTGCACTTATTTTTAACAAGGAACTGCTGGTGCACACACACACTCTGCAAAGTTCAGGAATTACATATATTTTAAAATGTGGAAATGTTTCTACATGTGTATGGAATACACGAGTCACTCCTGAACTCATGATAGTCGACATGGTGATAACAATAGCAAAGCTCTGGATTCTTGTGGCTGTAAACAATAAAATAACATGGATCAAAACATGGATGCTGAAATGAGCTGTCAGTGTCCAAAAGATACTTGTGTCAACTAGTCGCGGTGTCTTACAGGTGTGCATACTAGAACAGCATGGGTATTTTGTTGCAGACTAGTCACAGACTTAAAACATCTAAGAGTGACAAGCTACGGTCTTGTAAAATGTGTGAACATGGCCTATATTTGACCACGTTACTATCAGCCTGTACCATGTCAACAACGTGTTCAGCAGAAACAATGAAGAGGTTTTTAGCAGAAACACGAGACGGCTAGAGCAACCATACAGAAATTGAGGTCCTAGAGTTTCACAGCCACAGTCCTTTTCCAGTGTCAGATTGAAGAGAAAAAGTCTGAAGCATGGATTCTGGAGGAGGGGTTCATGTGCCCTGCGGGCTCAGATTAATGACTCAAAAAGAATATATCTATTATATTGAGAAATTGTGGTGAGTGCAAAGAAGAACTGGAGGTATTATTAATACATAAGTGGAATATTTTGAATGAGAAATGTCTTTTGTGAAGGGCTGATATGAAAGAACTTTCATAGAAAAAGGTTTGGCAGCACTTCACTCACATATGATTAGTCACGATCTGGAACAAACACCCACACATATATAAATACATACATACATGTACGTATACATACATACATACATACATATACAGTATATATATATATATATTAGTGCTGTCAAATGATTAATCGCATCCAAAATAAATGTTTTTGTTTACATAATATATGTGTGTATACTGTGCATAGGTATTATGTATATATAAATACACACACATGCATGTATATATTTAAGAAAAATATGTTATGTTTTTATATTAAATATATGTTTATATAATATAAAATATAATAATAAAAATATATAAATGTATATACATGTAAATATTTTCTAAATATATACTGTATGTGTGTGTATTTATATATACATAATAAATATACACAGTACACACATATATTATGTAAACAGAAACTTTTATTTCGGATGTGATTAATCGCGATTAATCGTTTGACAGCACTAATATATATATACTGAATTCAATATATGCAAACTGAGTATACTTAAAATATACTTTATTGCTGTGATCAAAACTGAATTTTCAGCATCATTAATCCAGTCTTCAGAAATAATTCTAATATGCTAATTTGCTGCTTAAAAACAATTCTGATTGTTATTCATGTTGAAAACCGTTTTTGAGGTTTAATATTTTTGTGGAAAACCATTACTTTTAGAGGATTTACTGTAGCATCTTTTTTTTTATAACATTATAAATGTTTTTAATTTCACTTTTGATCAATTTCATGCATAATTGAATGCAATAAATAAAAATAAATAAATAAATACATCTTACAGACCCCAAACGTGAATGTTAGTGTGTGTCATGCATGTGAATAATATACAGTGGTCAAATTACAAAAGTGACATTATATATAAAAGAAAAACTGCGTAAGAGAGGTTTGTTAGATTTCAAACAATAGTCATACAATAGTGTCTAAAATGAAAACAGCAGAAGTTTGATCAGATGACACTTGATTGGATTTTTCACCAATTCATTTTAAGTGTAATTTAAGGTTATTAAAGTGTCTAAATACCTTTGGGAGCCAATGTAGGTTCTTTAGATATCGTTTAAGCTAATAAAGCTGTGCTGTTTGCTAATAACACTTTTGCTTCAAGTTTCAGAAACTCATTCTCCTTCAGTTTCACATTACTCCATGCCCTTGTCTTTTAAATCTAACCCAGCAGGCATATACTTGTAGAATTGCTTGTCAAACCCCCTGTAAACTCAGCGGGCTCTCACCTCATACTCCTGCTTGAAGCTGTAGCCCTCTCCTGTCTTCATCTGGTTGATGTGTTGGAGCAGGTCTGCCACTCTCACGGCCGGGTGGAGCTGGCCTGTGTGGTACGGAGAACTTTTCCTCCTGCAGTGTCTTCTGGGAGAACCACCCAGCAGGCTGCTGGACTCATTCACCGTGCTGCGCTGCTCGTCTGAGGAGCGAGAGGAAGAGAGAGAAAGATAAACACAAACTGACCCAGGTGCAAAGGGAAGAAGCTACAGTGCGCTCAAAGGTAACGTGTAAATTGCAGCGGGAGTCGCTTCATTGGAGGTGGTTGTGCGAGTGTGAATTGAAGTAAAACTGCAGGGCTGGAGATGTTAGAATGGTGTTCTAAGAAGCAGACGAGATATGCTGGTCCAGTTTGATGAAGATAGCCTGCATAGATTCATATTTGAACCATCTGTCTTCCATGTAGTGGTGTTGGCAGATTTTTTAACTGGGGCACGAGCTCCAGAGAAGTACTGCTGTGTTCCAGTAAAATATTACTGATAAATCCTTGTCTGGTTATGGAGATAACCATATACCAATCAGATAATAATTTTTACCTCATAATATTGCACTTTATTTGATAGTCTACTTTACAAAGTCTGCTAACTATAAGTACCTTTCCAACTGGATTTGCAACTACAAATGTCCCAGTGACAGCTTTTGTACCTTTTTTCTGATAGTGTATAAGTAACTTTGCAAGTACGTCAACTTATTTTACTAACCCTAACCATAACCTGACAGTCTACTAATATTCTAATGGGAGTTAGTTCACATGTTATTACAAAGTTACTCATAATTAGTAGAATGCCTACAATGGACTATTGAAATAAAGTGTAACCATCTTCAGAAATCAATTTCTATTAGCGGTTTAAAATCAGAACTATAACATGCAATGCATGATTTGCAAATTAATCACTTCTGAACTAATCAGTCAAAGTGTTTGCAAAAAGGTTTGAAATAGAGGTCTGCAATCCCATGGGATCTGTGGGACCCGACCCAGCAGAGTCAAGCTTTTAATTGCTGAGAGTGGGTAATTGCTAATAGTGATGTATGTGCAGAAAGTGGGAGAAAAATTAATCAGGGGCTCCTGCAAAATATAAATATTTCAAGATTAAATAAAAATGACTTAATTATATTTTATGTTATTCATGTTATTTGTCTGTTGAACAACAAACGTGAAAGTCACGGATGGGAGTGGGACAAAATATGACACATATTTGTGCATGAGCGAGACAGGATCTTGCTGGAGAAGGACTAAAAAAATGCATCCTGCATAGACCTCTAGTCTAAAGTTGTTTGAGATTCAGTCTGATTACTTTGGGCAGTTCATTTCCATAGGGAAACTGAGTCTTAACGATAACTTGTAAACCATTAAAGATGAATCTACTGTGAGCTCAGAGGTTGTTAAGAGCCATCTTTTGCTTTTGTTGGAGCCATCTGTTCGCATTATTCCAACTTGTTTTAAAAATAATTGTGTTTAACAGCTAAATTTGGGGTAAAAAAAAAATCACACAGCAAAATTACATAATTGAAAAAAAAAAACAGAATAGAATAGAATAGTTCAAACCAATGCTACACAGCCAAGTACATGATATAAGCACAGATATCTGGAGACAGGCAGAGGCAGACAGCGCTCTCATTTACTGGCACTCAACAACACTCTTCTGTTCCAGGGGACGATAAGGAAACTGACTCAAGACTCAGAGAGCAGTGGGAGCATCTTTAATATGTGGAGAGCAAATGCAAACAAAGACTAATGGAGATAAACAGCATTAATGGTGTATTGTGACTGTAAACATCCCAACAACACTGTTTACTTGTTCACCTGTTTTCTAATACATGCATTATATATTGGAGAGAGAGAGAGAGTATGTGTGTGTGTGTGTGTGTGTGTGTGTGTGTGTGTGTGTGTGCAATGCTTAGCCACTAGAGATGTAACGATTAACTCAATTCATGATGTGATACGATTCACGATACTGATTTCACAATATGATTTTCTCACTATTTTTTTAACAAAATGAGAACTGAAAAGGCGTCTTTTTATTATTTTTCAGACAAAATTCTGCACATTTCTTTGTGAAATTGAAATATGTCACATAACAAAACTAAACTGAAATGTTAAAACAAATCCAGAATCAAATAAATAAATAATACAAATAAAATAAATATATTCATATAAACAGACTAAGGCTTTGCCTGCCTTGTGCCCTTTCCATTCAAAATTAGAGGCAACCACAGGATTTTAATCACGATCCAAACAAAGTTGCTGCATAAATGCAGCATGAACAGTTTTTTTGTTTTTTTTTATTATTATTAGATTGTATAATTTCAAAATTTAAAGCAAAAACAGAATATTCTGACTTTAGCTTTGTGAAACTATACTACATAAAACAAATCTGCAGGAAACCGAAACAGCAGAAGCTCTGAATGAGACGCAGATTCACTCTCTTGCTGTGTCCCAATTTGCATACTATCCGTCCTAAACAGTATTCGAAAATAGAATTAGTATGTCCCAAATCATAGTATGTTTAAAAAAGTATGCCAAAGATTCCCGGATGGTCTACTACTTCCGATTAGAATTTGAAGTGCAGATCGATGCACACTCTAACAGCTAATATTGCCCACAACACATTGCGCAGTGGACGAGGATTCAATTATTCGAAGAACTACAAACATGCATTAAAAGTGTTAAAAAGTGTTAAAAACTACAAACATGGCGGATATACGTGACCAACGGACAGGTAGATAAACGGATTTGAGTGATAAATAATTAATGTCTAACCTGATGAAAAAATATAAATTTAATGTTATCCATGTTATATTTCATCTGCAGCAACACTGTGAACTTTTATAATGATATGTTTGGTCATTAACTTTTAAATGCATCATTATGCAAACACATGAGCAGAGTTCTCGGCATTATAGACTAGCAGATCAACGTACCTCTTAATATCTCTCTAATATGGTAGAAAATCAAATTAAAGGGGTCATATGATGCAATTTAAATTTTTCCTTTCTCTTTGGAGTGTTACAAGCTCTTGGTGCATAAAGAAGATCTGTAAAGTTGCAAAGACTAAAGTCTCAAATCCAAAGAGATATTCTTTATAAAAGTCAAGTGAGTGACAGAATGCGCGTAACTAAGCAACAGAGCGTCCGTTAAAGAAGCAACTATGACAAAGTAGTATGTCCCAAAGCTTGCCTACTATTCTTCTACATATTCAAAAGTATGTACTTTTTCTTCACAAAAAGAGTACATACTTTTAGGGCATAGTATAAGTAGGCGAATTGGGACGCAGCATATGACAGCAGTAGCCGCTTATGGAGCAGCAGCAATACAGTGTTTCCTTGGTTACCGCTGTAAACAAAGCAGCTGCGCTTATAAACACTGCTGTAATATGCATTATTCAGAGACAAGATGAAAATAAAATACCAATTAAACTTTTCTGAAGATAGTCAGTTGCCATCAGAGACACAATCATATAACCCCCACCCTCAATTGTGTCACGATTCATTTAACATCTCAACCGACTTGAATCACCACATATTTTTATTTATTTTCGACAGGCTCGGGCTGCATCGTTACATCCCTATTAGCCACCGTACAATAGCCCTTTTCGCACCACATAGTTCTGGGAACTAAGTTACATGTACTAGCCGGTCGGGTAGTTCCCCGCGAACTTTAGGTTCCTCCGGGCCGTTCATCCGGGTACTTCCGCCAATAGTTCCAGGAACTATGAAAAGGTTCCTCTGGTGCGAAAGGGGCTAATATGTCTAGAATTGGAAATTAATGTTTCAATTATGGGCTGTAATGATAGCAGGTTTTCATTACACAATTATCATAATTAAAATAATTACATCGTAATAGTATTGTTATTGCAATCTAGAGAAAATAGTAATAATAATAATAATAATAAAGTCAAATTTTCAAATTCATCTTTTATGTTGTTAATTTTGTGTTTTCTCTTTTTTTGGTAAATGAATCACACTCAAAATGAGTGTCAAAACCAGTTTAAGGATGCAGAGAGAGAGAGAGTTGGTAACCATAACTATTCAAAACTATAAAAAAAATAAAAATAACTTACTGGCACTTCCTACAGACTGGGGTGTCTGACATTCAAAAAAAACACTGTTGAGCAAGCTTTTTTTTTCAAGTATGGCTAAAGTGTCTCTTTTTCATCAACTTTTCAACTTTATTTTGTGGGACATAGACACTTCATCATCTTCTTATTTTTTCCATTGTATAGGTGCAATATCGTCACCTACTAGGCTGAAGTGTCAACTAGATGTGGTTAATGGCACTGGAATATTTACAATATGATCATTTATGTAGTAGAAATAGGCATAGATAAATCCCATAGAAGACCTAGACAGGTGGAACTGGGGGAGGTGGAGGGTGTCAGAGGAACTTTGACAGAACGCTGCACAACCAGCTTACAGTGAACATTTGGATTTTAGGATCTGGACTTGGAGGATCCATTACTGGTCTGGGTAACAGGGGGTCTGGCATTTGTGTGGATCTTGTGGATCTCTTCCAATCGTCAAATACTGAATTACTTGAATTATCAAAAACAGGCCTGATTAAAATATATAATTCATTCATTCATTCAGAATATCAGTTTACCATAACCAGGTACTAAATACTTATGTTTGTCTGAGTAAGGAGCAACTCTTTCCGCAGTGTGTGTTTGTGTACTCACTTCTAGCAGTGCTGTTATGTGAGTCCATGAAGGTGTGCGCCGTGCGATCGTCCTGTTGCAGTGTACTGTGCTCTGTCGTACTGCAGTCCAGTGACCCCAGCTTACGCGTCTTCTCCTGACGATACGTCATCACCGCTTTATTAATGTTCACCTTCTTCCTGCTGCAGAGTATGAAAGACAACAAATGAAGAGAGACTACAAGGACTGTAAATGAGACGAAAAGAGAAAATACATAAACACGGGTGGAGAGGGTTAATAAGAGAAGAGGATTCTTCAATATACACCATCACCAGTAATAGGAACTACAGCTTTAAATGTAAAGAAAATGTAGGTGGGACCTAGCCAGGTCAGTGCTATATGGTGATCGTAGCATGTTCCCATGCTTTTGCTGGGGTGGTTGCTAACTGGTCAAAATTCATGATCATCTCGATTTCTAGATGTGACAGTGGTCGCTCCTCCAGTGTAAGTCTAGGGGATTTTTTATTTTATCCATTTATTTGAAGGGGAAAAAAATGTAGAAAAGCAATTAACACACATCTCCTCAAGCCACATGCATTACTATATAACAACACTATATTAAAAAGAGTGGAGATATAGACAGGAAAGTAACAGAGAATGTAAGACAGCAATTTAGAGTTTGGCTAATCTCCAACAAATCCACACTAAACAACAGAGGCTGATGGGAAAAAGAATGGAACCTGATGAGGAAATGACTTACGGGTAGTAAGGATACGAATAGATGTCCCTTCTGAAGAGCATGAAGAGAGACAGAAAAAACATGTAGGTTAGGCTGGCTTCTAGTACATTTACATTTGGCAAATACTTTTATCCAAAGCAACTTACATCGAATTGAAGATTTTCATGAATGCATTATCTGGGAATCGATCCAATGACCTTTGCTTTTGCTAGAATCATGCTCTAGTGTTTAAACTACAAGTTATCAGGCAAGTTATTTACATGTTAATTACTCGTATGCTGAGATAAACATCTGTCCTTAGCTTCTTGTCAGTTTATGACACGTATGAAAGCAGATTGGTTCCCGACTGGTTTCACTACTTGACTTTACTACAACGCTCAAATAATTTGCTGGTAATATACTGTAGTAGGTTTATCTGAATCTGAATAAACAATTGTTTATTATTTCTGAGTCTCATATTAGTTAATGATATGAAGTAATTGTGTTGGCTCCTTTAGAACTTAGTTATTGGCTCAAACTCTTTGTTTTTATACATTACAATGTCTTAAAGACACAATAGTAACACTAGTGTAGTGATGCACAAAACACCGCTCACACAAGTCACTTTCAAAACAAGCAGTTTTTTTTATATATTTCTCTACGCAAATTTCACAGAGCATTGATTAATGTAACTGCACCTTTAATTTTGCATGCGCTTGATATTTCTCCTTGGCCAAATGATGATAAAGTGAATTTTAATTGATATCTTAAAGATAAAAAAGTCTTACGTACTATGAAAACATATTTTAATTTTCAGAACACAACATTTCTGAACTTCTAGAACTTTCTAATGTCACACAGACGACTGATGATAAATGAGTACAGTGAAGGTTTATGTCAAATATTGCCCTGTTTCTATCTGTGCGTAGCACCTGCTGCTCTGCAGACCTCTCAGAACAATCATAACTTTAGAAACGAGAGGCTTAGAGTTTATTTTGAACAAAATCCCTGATATCAGACTGATGTCAACAGTTTGAATGGCATATTGCACTACGATTAAACGATTAAACTTTACAAAGAAAGAAAGAAAGAAAGAAAGAGAAAGAAAGAAAGAAAGAAAAAGATCCTTAAAAAGTTCAATATGCTTAATGAGTTGTCTTTTGCCCTTTATTTGGCAACTAAATGTATGTGTTGTGCTTTGGGCTCATGTAAGCATTTCACATATAAAATTTATGTCAAATATTGCCCTGTTTCTATCTGTGCGTAGCACCTGCTGCTCTGCAGACCTCTCAGAACAATCATTTAGAAACGAGGGGCTTAGAGTTTATTTTGAACAAAATCCCTGATATCAGACTGATGTCAACAGTTTGAATGGCATATTGCACTACGATTAAACGATTAAACTTTACAAAGAAAGAAAGAAAGAAAGAGAAAGAAAGAAAGAAAGAAAGAAAAAGATCCTTAAAAAGTTTAATATGCTTAATGAGTTGTCTTTTGCCCTTTATTTGGCAACTAAATGTATGTGTTGTGCTTTGGACTCATGTAAGCATTTCACATATAAAAGGGGTCACTTTTATTTAGATGTATTAGTATTATAAAAAAAATGATTGTCATAGTCTATATGTGTCCTTGTCAGGATTATGGACTATTATGTGTGTGTTTTTGCCCCTGTGACCCAGTTTCTTCCTCATGTTGATTGTTAATTTGATCCCAGGTGTGTCTCATTCCTCCCTTATTATCCTGAGTTTAAAAGCCCTAATCCATTCAGTTAGTGTTTGTCGGGTCTACTTGTTGGATGTTTCCCTTGTTTCCTGTCTCTACTGTGGATTATTAAAGACTTATTCGTCTTAACTCCAGTGTCTCCTCGTTCCTCGTTTGCTCCCCGAGTGAATTGTGACAGAAGACCCGACCAAAACAGTTACCTCCGTGTTTTCCCCTCCGTTTGTTTTCCGTGTTTTTTCTCTCAGTGTTTATGTTTCAGTTGTGTGCCCCTATAGTTTATTCCTCATGTTGATTGTTAATTTGATCCCAGGTGTGTATCGTTCCTCCCTTATTATCCTGAGTTTAAAAGCCCTAGTCCATTCAGTTAGAGTTTGTCGGGTCTACTTGTTGGATGTCTCCCTTGTTTCCTGTCTCTACTGTGGATTATTAAAGACTTATTCGTGTTAACTCTAGCGTCTCCTCGTTTGCTCCCCGAGTGAATTGTGCCAGTCATCTTATATCAGATTATTAAAATTTATCAAATTAATAAATTCTATCCAAATAAAAAGACATGTTGGCTATTAACAATCAAATTGAATCACTATCAACACTCAACTTCTCATATACATGGATCTAATGTGAAAACTGTAAATTTATGGCATTCTGCTTTTAATGTTGTCATCTTTTTAATATCATTATTATTTTTTTTGTGTTTTCCCCTCCGTTTGTTTCCCGTGTTTTTTCTCTCAGTGTTTATGTTTCAGTTGTGTGCCCCTATGGATCCCCTCCTTCGCCCCGAATTCATCCTCCTCCTCCTGGAGCAGGAGGAAAATTCGCTCGAGGTTCATACCAGACTGTTTCAGGCTGTGGCCCATCTCACCACCTATCCAGACGATGCGCTCTGCGCGTTCTATGACGCCAGCCTCAACCCCGAGTGCAGAGCGCCGTCGTCCGAAGATGGCCCTCGAGCGGACTTCACCGCCTTTGTGGAGTGGACACTGGCGAGAAATGGATCTCTGTTCCTCGCCAGTTCCCAGGAGTTAATCGCCACTCCCGACCCAGAGCCCAGCCCACGATCTCCCCAATGCGCGGAGCGCATGCCCGAGCCCACCACGTTCCTTGCTCCCCGAGTGGATTGTGACAGAAGGCCCGACCGATGCAGTTACCTCCGTTTTGTTTCTCTTTTTACTCAGTGTTTATGTTTCAGTTGTGTGCCCCTATGGATCCCCTCCTTCGCCCCGAATTCATCCTCCTCCTGCTTGAGCAGGAGGAAAATTCGCTCGAGGGTCATACCAGACTGTTTCAGGCTGTGGCCCATCTCACCACCTATCCAGACGATGCGCTCTGCGCGTTCTATGACGCCAGCCTCAACCCCGAGTGCAGAGCGCCGTCGTCCGAAGATGGCCCTCGAGCGGACTTCACCGCCTTTGTGGAGTGGACACTGGCGAGAAATGGATCTCTGTTCCTCGCCAGTTCCCAGGAGTTAATCGCCACTCCCGACCCAGAGCCCAGCCCACGTAAAAAAAATCTCTATCAACAAAATCCATAGATAGATTCTGCATAAATTATGTTGTTTAAATATAACATTTTAATATAGAAATATTAAATGATTGAAAAAAATGATTAAAAAGCTACTTTTTTAAATATGAAACTACAATGCCAGTAGGTGGCAGCAAGTGACTGTTTTAATGAGTGAGTTAAATACTTAAATCAACTGATTTGTTTAAAATGCTAATTCATTTAACTTCGCAAACGACTATACTTATAGGCTAGTCTGAATCATTTACTGCTCCGTGTAACATGAGGAACCAAACACCATGTTGCTCGGAGACGCAGCGGTTCTGCTGTTCTGCTGCTATTTTCTTTTTGGCGGAGCAAAATGGAATTTTGTGTCTGAAAGTTACTCAGTAACTTCTTGTTTATTGTACATTTGCGATCGTGCAGATATTTGGAAAAACAGGACTCGTGTTTGTGTGATAGGCTAACTCCTACATAGGCATTTGTTATAAAAACAGAAACTCATCAAATGTCTATTTTTATTTTTTTAAATCATTTTGATT